TGAAGCCTTGTGCCCCGAGACGGGGTCACTTTTGACACAGACCGGTCGAGCGGTCGCCGTTCCACCTGTGCAAAAGACTCATCCGCCGATGCTGTAATTGATCACAGCCCAGGAGGGTGTTTGCACATGCAGCGCAAATTAAACAAGATGGTTTAGATTGCTTTGATTTACATTTTAATGCCGTTCCAATTAGGGCGGCGTGCAAGCTGCCGAAATGAAATAAAAAAAATTACTCCGCTGCGGGAACAAAGCAAATTGTTTGGAAAGGCGCGCCACCGAATTTTCACTACCATTGAAATGTGATAAAATATAACGACACCTCGGAAGAAGTCGCGCTCACAACACGTCCACACACATCGTTTGGTGCGTACGCTGCTCAGATGCAAATGTTGGTACACAATGGGAACTGCGGCATCCAGGCGATTGTTTTGTTTTCAAAAGGCAGCGACAAATGTGCCGGGCTAGGTGATTACTTGTGACTATAAATTATATTAATTATCATCCAGTGATTGCTGTACTCCATAAAATTAAGCAATACTAACTTTTGGCGCAGCTACATTTTTATTGGCGATGTCAGGTAATTTTATAGCGAATGAAAACCCTGGCTTTATTTTAAAGGCCCTCAGCGCGTGCGACTCAATCCCAGTCCCTGCGTGGGGCTCGCCAATAGAGGCCAGCCCCGCACGGCGGCCAGCCCCGCACGCTCTCACAAGCGACTATCCACAGGCTCCCTCGACAGTCCCTCTTTCACCTCAAGTGGTGATTAAACGAACATTAGCTTTGTATATTTTAATATAAAGTCTAATGATTATTTAATGCTGTGACGTCGATAAGATACTCCCTGTGAATATTTCACGAAATAAGTTTCGTTGTGTAACGCAATAAATGAGCAGACAATTGTGGAGTTATTCATACATTTGGGAGGAAACCAGAGCAACTGGAGCACCCAGAAAAACCCCACGCGTGTGAGGGGGCAACGCTCGATTCCCCAGACGGAACAGGCAAAGAGGAGTTCACGGGAGCACTACGCAGGGACTGGGATTGAGTCGCACGTGCTGGCTGAGCGCCTTTAAAATAGAGCCAGATTTGTATCATTCGCTTCAAAATTATCTTAGATCAGCAATACAATTTGTGTGGCAAGCCAGGCTCTGGCTCCTCCTCAACGAACCACGGTAAAGGAACATCACACATACTCTTTGGTTTTATTCGGTAAAGTTGTATTTTATCTACGTGACTTTACCGAATAAAACCAAAGAGTATGAATCCTTGCAGTCACGAAAGCTTCAAATCTAGAACATCACACATTTGTGTGATCCACCAACCGTCGCTGCTGCCTCCAGTGTTGGATTACAGGCCAGGTGCACATCCACGCCCGCACGGCTCACCTGAACTCCTTCACAATCCTGGAGACGCACAGGCCACCTCATTCTCATGTCTGTCCCTCCAAATCAAAAATAAAATCGCATTTGTTTGTACACATCTCAAAAGCCGCAACGCCTTCTGGGAGTGCATCATTTCACCGGCAGTGGTTATAGAACGCAAACTTGGGACTTTGATATTCAGTGTCTCACCAGCATTCGTGCTTTCTTTTTGCGACTATTGATCAAATTATTCTGAAGTTATTCACTGCCAGAAGGACATGCTGATGGGATGTGTTAAATATACCCCTTTAATGTTAGTTTGTATGTGGCGCAACGGTTGGATGAAGGAGGCGAGGCGTCTGCTCACGTTGACGAATCACCACCAGTCACCTGGTTGCTATGACGTCAGCGCGTTCTCGTACGAATCCTCACGAGGTGCTTTTAATCGCAGAAGGCACCGTCCAATCTGTCAGGAATCAGCGGTCCGTGTGAACCTCATTGCTGTGCTGTGTGCGTCGGAGCTTTCACTTGCACCTCCGATTAGCACGGTTGGTTACGTACGGTGCAAAAGAAGTTCAACATACGGACTCCACCACGCTGCTGCTATTCCTTCACAAACTACAACCAGCCGAGTCTCCTCTGAACTCGATCCCCTGTGCCACCCGCCACACAGAGTTCAAAACATGCGGGCCCTGTGGAGTAAAACACATCCAAGCGACGAATTATTCTTCAATGCCAGCCACGTGTGTAGTCAGCACACGGCAGCTTATTGTCACTCTCCCCAAGCTGTGAAAGTAAAGAGCCTTGCTGAAGTCAAGAAACGCGTTCTCGTTCTTAACTATTTAACATTGACAGAGCTATTTGTTGCTGGCCGCTGGACGTCTGTGCTCAGTATTGGTGAAAGAAGACGCCCTCGAAAACCGGATGGGACCTCTCGGAGAAAGTGATGATCGCCTGCACTGAACGTTCAACGGCCCCACCCGTATGTCTGATATCTTAGGCATCATTAATAAAATCATCATACATGGTACTTGTATATCCCGTCGTGTATGCACATTTGCATCTCCAAAACCCTGTCGTGGAGTTTATAAAGCGCACAGGTTTCGTATTAGAGGCGCGGTAAACCACAGACCAGGCAGCCAGAACCGGCGCCAACAAATGCCCAAGCTCCGTGATCCTACATTGGGATGTCTGACCAACTCCATTAATGAGCGTTTACCCACGAGGGAGGAAGCGGAGTAACCCTGCGTGGCGTGCGAGGTGGTGAGAGGCTGCATCCACTCTACTTGCTGTACTGCCAAAACCTTGGCAGGGCAGACGATGGCGCCACTGACGCCCTGGGATATGGAGCTTCACGCAACGTGCGTGATCCACAAACCCTACTCATGTAGACGTGGGACACTATTGGACATTGCTTCGCCTCGCCGGCACAAACAGCATGCCATGGGTTCATGGCATGTGGTTTAAAACAATGCAACGGGGCTTCCTATTGCAGCTGTTCACGGCATGCAGGTTAATCGCCTATGGGTTAACGCCGCACACACAGGTCGACATCACAGGCATTGCATGGGTTGACAGGAGACTGGCTAACGGAGTACAAGAATAGGGTTTTCCCCTTTTTCTGGAAACAAAACCGAAACCTTTTTAACAAGGAATTATGTCTGCATTAACCAGAATACTTGTGGTCAGAATGCAAACAAAAAACACTGATAATATATACATTATATTCTTGGTTCTTTCGGTAAAGAAACAAGAATATGAATCCCTGCAGTCACGAAAGCTTTAAATAAAAAAAATATATGCATTGTTCTTGAAACCGATAGGTCCACGCCAGAGACAGCTTTCTTTTGAGCCTCGTCTCAAACGGTGTTAGACCAGAGGATGTATTGTGGTTAATGCAGACATGATTCCTCGTAAAAAGGTTTCAGTTTTGTTGCCAGAAAAAAAGGGGAAAACCCTATTCTTATATTCTGGTCCTGGCAAAGGAGGCCCCATGATAATGGAGTACAGTTTATCGTTGCCTCGTTTAGTGTCACAGATTAACGTTGTTCAGGTCAACGCCATAGGAATTAACATCACGCGACATGCAGGTTTTAACAGCCTGCGGGTTCACGGCGCCGTGTAGGTTAACGTCACGGGGCTGAACGGCGCACGGGCTGAGTCACGGCACGGGTGACGTGCGTCGCTCTCGCCGCCTCGAACGTCACTCGGGTGTCGCTAACGAGGCCTGCACTGCTATTTACAGATAAGGGCCCCGTGAATGACAAGGAGAGTCTGAGCATTTGCCTATTCCAGTAAAGAGATGCAACCGGCGCGTATCCCCCCCCCCTCTCCGTCCCTCGCGTGCTGAGCCGGGGCCCGCTCTGTGTGCGAGCGAGCGAGCGAGCGGGCTCCTTGCGTGCTCCTTGCGGCGCGATAAGGGACAACAAACGGGCCCCGCGCCTGCACGCGGGGAGAGCGGCAGCTGAGGTGAAACAGCACTCGTGGCGAGGCGACAAGGAACGAGGAGGGGACACGCGCGCCCTGCAGCCCGTCACGGTCCCAGTGCTCGTGTCGCTCACACACAGCACAGAGATATTATTGCGAATTGGACAAACGTCCCACAACAGCAGGGAGGCGCCACTCCCATCCATCTGCCTCGCATGCCTCGTGACTGCCGCCACCGCTTGTACAACGCGCTCAGCCTTGTCCAGACCACCATCTCATGGAGGAGTTGAACGTGACAGTATTATTTTATGGGGTTTCTGCTCGCACGACGCATTCTCGTTCTTTATTGATTGTCATAATTTACATGTTAATTAGACGGATGTGTGCAGCGACACGAGAGGCCCTCAGAGAATTGGTTGAACACGAGCAAACTCTAGACCGGCTTCTATATCAACAGTCAGGCTTGCTAGAGCCAATGGCAATGCACTTCCAGATCTTTACAATTCAATCTGGGCCAGAGTTTGTTTGCGTTCAACTAATGCTAATGAAATGATACACTACCAGAATGCAGTGTGGCTGATTGGATGTGTTAATAAATATTTGTTTACGTGGAGGGATAGATGTGAAGGCGTATTGTTGGCTTGTTTATCGTTTATCTTCACGACGATACTAATTAAAATTGTCGTACCGCCTACAAAGCAGCACTGGAATTGAGGACGATTCAAGTGGTGGGACTTTGAACTTGATGTGAACCCCTCTTTCACTCGACCCTAAACCTGCTCTCCGCTGCAACACGGGCGTCTTGTTGCAGAGCGCTCGAGAATCCCACCGGGTTCTCTGTTATCGATGTCACGGGCCGGATGAAGCGTAGCCACAACCACTGGAAAATCATGTCGCTTTACAGCCGCCTCTGTGCACACAACAAGCGAGTTGCGAATGTGCGACTACTCAGCAACAACTCGAAAAAAGCGATTCAATGGACAGGTGCTGTGGTTATGGTTCACACGTTTTGTTGGCGAAATTATAAAAACGCGCATCACAGCACGCCCGACACCTCCAGATGACGCATTAGCACGCGCAGACAACATCAACACCCCCTCAATCACGTACGAATCTGTACCTCCACCTAAGTTTCAACCAATCGAAAGGTTATCGGGTTAAACCTTGGGGAACGAGTCCAGAAACCCCGTGGTAAAAGCCCCACCAGGCAGAGGCGGTCGAAATTATTTATTTACACCACGTGCTGAACAAGCCCAACGGCGAAACACCACAACATTTCGCAGCCAGCAACAACCAGCACCACTTCTCTGTTCAACCACCAAACTGCAGGTCATCGCACTTTCTGCTTCCTCCCTCGCTCTGCTCCACTTTGGAATATCCTCCTCCCAACCTCTTCCCCCCCCTCCCCCAAGTTATTTATTCATTCAAGTGCCGTTTATTGCTGCCGCTTTACATTGTGGGCCTGTGCTCAGCAATTGAATTAACTTGTTTTTTTTAAGCTTCAACCCCAATGAGGCATCACCCATGGCACACAGTACCGAGTGCTCAGACACCACGCTCGCTCGTGTCGTCAATCCTTCTCCCACGCGCTAAATTCTGCCGCCAGTCTGCTGCGACTCAGATGGCCCTGCTCTCACCTGCGACCCTTCACTCACGCATCCGGATTTGTGTTGCAGCTCTTCACCCCCCCCTCCCCGAGGGGGCAATTTGCCACGCGAGGTGTGGGGGGGAGGTCGCAGTCGGCGCCTCCTCTCCTCCACCAGACGTGCCTGGTCGCAGGCCACTCGCTCTTCGACTCGAGCCTTGGGCACGATGGCACCAAGATGGTTCAGGAGCGGGATGCCAACGTCTGAGGCCTGCTGGGCACGACGAGCGGGCTTGATGAGAGCGTTCGTGTCGTGTTGCTCTTCTTCCTCCTCCGATGAAGGCGCGCAGACTCCACAGTGTCTCTACTCTGCTGGCCATCGTTGGGGGTGCATGACAACAACTGCACGACTGTGGTCGTGTGTTTAATTTTCCATTTACTCTCCTCATGCACTCTCGCGCTATCCCGGGGCTGCTTTAAAATGAGATCAGCAAAGGTCCCGTGGAATTTAAAATTAAATGGATTCGTTTTGCAGGGTTCAAAATCCCGTACGCTACGGAAAAGCGCAATGTGTTTAGTTGTAAAATAAGCAGAGGAAGACGCTCTTAATGGAAGGCTGCCAACTCGTCGTTGACCACGCAGCCCCCCCCCCCTCCTCATCGTCGTCAGTAGAGCCATGGGTTCCGCCTTTCCCCCGGTGGACGCGGGATAATGAGCAGCACCTCCTGCGCACAACCCCCCCGCCTCTTCCCTTTCGTTTCCCTGGCGGAAGCAACATCCATCACGCGCCGCGCGTTTGATAGCAGCCGGCAACAACCCGCGAGAGGGACCACGGTTACTGAAGAAGAATTCAAGAAACCGCTCGATATATACACAGCTGCCGCGCGCCTTTACTGCGATGCAATCAAGCGGATGCCGACGATCGCCTCTGGGTCCACGCGCGACGCCGCTCGCGCGTGGATGACCTCCCTGCTGCCCGCCACGCGCGGCACAGCGCGCCTCCTCGTCACCCCACGCCGTACCCACCGCGCACGTAGCTTGGCACAAGCTTAGCGAGCGCCTTTCACCACGTCGCTGTGCAGGTGATACCTTACAGCTCTCCTTTTGATCATCGGCATCAATCATCCGGCGGAGTGTTGAGATGGAAACAGGAGCCGGGTTTTATATTCACTCCCTATATAAATATATAAACATGCAATATGTGTGTGTGTATATTTATCGGGGCGAGCCGCTCCAAGTGATTACGAGGCCACACACCTACGGGCAAACATCTGCAGAGCTACGAATGTTCCGTGGCATTTTCAGTCTCGTTTTGAAAACACCAATAACCCCCTTTGCCCGGATCTGCCCTTGAGTCATCATCTGGCTCCAGCGAGGATTGTTGGATAAGGGAGGGAGCCACGGCGCCGAATCTCGCCTGGGCTCGCTCAGAGACTGCGGCGAGCCGACTGCTCCCCGAGCTCGCGTCCCCGGCTCTAAGCACGACGCGGCCCGTATCACAGCGCGGTCGCTACAACGAGGGGCCCGAGACGTCATTAAAGTTCATCCAGCAGCGGCTGCCACGGGCTTGTGACAGACAATTACCGAGACGCTGCGGCAGCAGCAGCCAGGCCGCGTGTCAGCGTCAGGCGCGGCCGTGACGGGGCTCCCCGGGCTGGTTCGGCACACGCGGCGGTACGGGGGGGGGGGAGGTCACGGGGGAGAGAGGCAGCGGTGGGAGTGTGAATGTACAAGTGCCGATTGGAACCCACTGGTCCCGCAGCAGTACATGTTCAATGCCGTTTCCCGTCTGTCTGCGGAAACGTCGTAGACTCGTAGTCGAAACTGTGTTGGCTAAGAGAGGTTTCCTTGCGGTAGATGCGTTCAAAAAAATAAAAGGAGCGCAGAAAGCGAAAACGCACAAGACGGTTGCCTGCCGACAAGTCCACGCATCACACACACAGTGCCATCCCACGCACGACCGCATAGCCCCATGAGTGAATTCATACCGCATGTAGCAAATTTGGGTAGAAATGGGCGAGGCTCATATAAGCGAAATCGCACAAACCTGAGTCGCCACAATGCAATGAACACCCGGCGCCATGTGAGTACACGACGTGACCCAGCTTGATCCTCCCGCCTGAGGAAGCCTCAAATGAATTCCCCCGTCAGCCGCTCAACTCAATCACTGGATTGTGCCTGGAGGCTTGTTCCTTGTCAAAGCGAGCGATGATGATGGTGGTAAGGTTTGGTTCTGTGAAGGTAACAAAGACTTAATTAGCCTGGTCATCTCCTGATCACGGTATGGTAGTACAGGAAGTGGATTAATAAATATCGATGAAGGGAGAAGGTTTACCCTCATCACCCGCCTGAGTTTTCTCCGGATACTCAGTACTCCGATTTCATTCCACATGTACAAATGCTCATTTATAGTTGACAGGTTATACAAATGTAGGACCACCGAGCTTGAACAAAACATTTGGCGCATGTTCCGACTACCTTCACACTTGCTTGCGGTGTTCCGCGTCTCCGTGCGAAATCTGTGCGAGTAACAAATCTCCGAGAGCTGGGAGGGGATCTCCTGGCCTCTCTCCTCTCTCTTGTGGACGGGACACCATCACTCGGCCTGCCGCCCCCGCTGCTCAATCACGGCTGCGCTTTATTGCCTGTTTATCCACGGGGGGGGGGGGGGGTCACGGCCGGAGCTCAGGCCCCTAATGCCTCTCGGTGAATGAATCTCCCGGTTCACTCCGTGCCCCTTTATCCGTCACACTCCGCTCCGTGCACGGTCCATCCACATCCCTCCGTCTGTTAACCCCGGCACCCTTCCAGAGCGATATTCGATCTATAACCCACTTAGGAAGCTGTTATTTAGCTCTGTTTCATCTCCGCCAACCTTCAAAAGCCCATTTGGTGACATTTTTCTCCCGCACGTGGGAGCCACGAGGACATCGGCGCGCTGCCTCCCCGCGCTGAACACCTTCAAGGCCACGCTCGGCGGTTGGAGGGCGCCTTTCCAGCCCAGTGAGGCCAATTCCGCAACAGGGCTGTGCGGCGTATTTATTGCGTACTGTATAATCCACAGGCTCACAATGTCGTCATCATAATCATCATAAGGACACTTACCGTCATCATCGCCATCTGCAGCAGTAACTGCGCGACACAGACACAGCTCTCTATGTTTCCACTGCCCATTTATACCGCAGCAGCAGCAGCTGAGCCAATTACCCAGGCACACCCTGGGTAACGAATGTCCTCTCCCACCAATCAAGTGAATAGCATTGTCATTACTTAATCATCCCCCGGGCCGGTTGGACATGCACCTGTGTGTAACCAAACAGCCAAGCCCATCCGAGGCTGCGAGCCACGGCAGTTCGGCGCCTGTCGCTTGCCGAGCGATGGAACGCAGTTTGGCTGTCCGGCCGGCACCACGTGACACACGTGCCACGGTGGGGGGCGATGTGGATCCAAGGGTGGGGGCGATGTGGATCCAAGGGTGGGCGCGATGTGGGCGACGATGCCCGCCCCTCCCTTGAAACCCCGGCCATTGTTGTGTTGTGGATATTTACCGGGGAAAATACATTGGGTGGGTTGTGATTTGGCATTAATGTAGGGGGCCCTTTTGAAATGCTTGACATTTAGGGACCACCGTCTCCCCTTGGTAATTGTCTCGGTTTGCTTCTGCCTACCATGTTACACAGCAATAAACACAGACGCGCGCACACGTCGCCACGAAATAACGCGTTATCTCGAACTCACGTTTATGTCAATCTCAGAGCGCCAGGCACTTCCACTGCGACGTGAACGCCCGCGTCTCTGAGCCGACGCACGAACGCACGCGGAGTCTGCGAGACACCGCGCGGCGAGCGGGCCAATTCGCACTCCCCGATGCAAAGGCGCCAGTAACCCCGTTTCACGTGCCCACGTGGGACTACAGGGGCCCTGTGGTCCCGCGGTTCGCGTTCTCCGCGCTCCAGTCCCACGGGGAGCACGCGCGGCAGCGAGCGGGGGTCGCGGTGCCTCTAGAAATAGCCCCGAAACCGGCGAGCCCATTTCTCAGAGAACATCTCATCCCCAGTAGGAGACCTGTTTGTCAGAGAGAGCCTCTCGTCCCCAGTAGGAGACCTGTTTGTCAGAGAGAGCCTCTCGTCCCTAGTAGGAGACCTGTTTGTCAGAGAGAGCCTCTCGTCCCCAGTAGGAGACCTGTTTGTCAGAGAGAGCCTCTCGTCCACAGTAGGAGGCCTGTTTGTCAGAGAGAGCCTCTCGTCCCCAGTAGGAGACCTGTTTGTCAGAGAGAGCCTCTCGTCCCCTGTAGGAGACCTGTTTGTCAGAGAGAGCCTCTCGTCCCCAGTAGGAGACCTGTTTGTCAGAGAGAGCCTCTCGTCCCCAGTAGGAGACCTGTTTGTCAGAGAGAGCCTCTCGTCCCTAGTAGGAGACCTGTTTGTCATAGAGAGCATCTCGTCCCCAGTAGGAGACCTGTTTGTCAGAGAGAGCCTCTCGTCCCCAGTAGGAGACCTGTTTGTCAGAGAGAGCCTCTTGTCCCCAGTAGGAGACCTGTTTGTCAGAGAGAGCCTCTCGTCCCCAGTAGGAGACCTGTTTGTCAGAGAGAGCCTCTCGTCCCCAGTAGGAGACCTGTTTGTCAGAGAGAGCCGAGAGGCCCCTGGGCCCTGCTCTCGTCTCTTGATGTTGTATCCGCCCGCTCGTCACATTGGCGTCATGGCGCAAGTGTCTGCTTATTCATTGTGTTAGTTACGTTCTCCACGTCGAACCAACTAACAGTTGTTGTGTATTATGCATTGCATAGATTTGTATTGAACTTGGGCCCATAGCTAGCAGAGAGAGTGAATTTGCAAGTGAACGTCTGACGCTTCACGTCACCGGCATTGTCTTAGCTTGTGTTGTATCAGAGCTGAGGAAATTATGCAATCCCAGAAGGCCGTGCAGCTGATGGAATGTGTAAAAACATAATTAAGTATTTTATACGTGGAGAGACAGATATGTGAAGGAGGCGACTTGTCTGCTCGGTCATTTTAGGCAATATCATCTCCATTGATGGTGCCGAATATCCCAGTTCGTGTTTCCTTACACTGCCTCCAAGAGCGAAATCTTCAGAATGGTCAGGGCTGCTACTCGAGTGGAGACTCAAAGGTTGGCAAAGCCTCTACAGCAATTCTAAACCCCGCTAAAATGCAACGACGAGAACCCCCATCACAGCAGCACCACGCGTCGCGCGGGCCGAACACGAATGGAATGAGCAGCAGCAACAACAGCACGCGACAGCACGCTGCTGTTGCTGCTGCTCACAGACAGCGGGAGGAAGGCACCACTCCATTTCGCGTGGCTGGCGTGCGTGTCATGTGACCACTGCATCCCACACGCGATGCTGTCGACGGAGCTGAACGTGTGGACTGTTATTGTTCACAGGGCACCATCTCAAAGAGATTAGAAAACGTGGCCGTCTCATCAGAAGATCAATTAGGCCGCCCTCGTACGTCAGATCCGTGAGGCTGCCCCCTGTGGTGAGATAAATGAACGGATAAACGTGTCCATTGCTGTGGTCGCCAGCCTTCCGGCTCGGCCAGTATATTGTTGGAAATTATTCTCACCGACTATTTACCGTGATGCGAATGTCGCAGACTGGCTTCAGGACATACCCAGAACTCCCCGGAGGTTTGGGCAAAGGGGAAAATTGTCACAGGCCTCACATAAAAAAGGGCCCACGACGAGACTCGTTTTGTCTTTTGTCGCTAATGAGCGAAGGGGCCCCACGAGGAATTCTAACGCGGGACTCCCGGAGCCTCCAGAAAGCCTCAGAAAATGCTCGATGCGTTGCTCTGAATGCACTCGTCAAGACAGCATACACAACTTACAGGGCATACTGTGAAACATATGGTAATGCCTTATACAAATAAATGGACTCAATTAATTCATTTCAGAAATAAAATTAACTGGGAACTCATTTCCACGCTGTGTAATTTATGACATTGGCTGCGAGGAGCTCCTGCGCAAGGCGGGCGGGGCGATTTGCATTTTACGCACCGCGGCGCTCGCCGTGACTCTCCGACGCTGTTGTGATAGCAACTCCCACTTTGCTAAAGCGACCAGGCGCAGAGGAACTTGTGAATTGTGCATGAGTCAGCCAGGTCACGACAGACACGCCGCACGGCTGTATAATTAGGAAGCAAAATAAATATAAAACGAAGAGGCGTGGATGCGAACGCCGGGCGCAAATGGTGCGATTGCTCCTTGCGAGGTGTGGGCTCTGATCAGCACCTACGGCCGTGCGCACGCCCGGCATTCATACCGCAAAAAAAACGACAACGTAGGTCACCGCTATCTGTTCTCGCCACGTGCCTCGCAGCACAAAGACGGCGGCCTCTGAAAGAGAAAAAAAAACGTTTCCGTGGCAATTCCACGAGCCCGGGGGAAAAATGATTTTGCCTCCACAATTGCGTTTAATGAAAAATGGCAGTGTGCATGCCTGAAGTGACTCGCAGGGAAATTGCCACGTTCTATTCCATCACAGCGCACATCTTAAAAGACTGTTACCATCACAGCGCGGGAATGCAAATGTGAAAAACAGCTCTACAAAACGTGGTGGACAACATTCGAAACACACGCAAGCCACTGACAGCACGTGTGCCGCAGCGCACAGCCGCTCTGAACCAATTCGTTCCTGCGGTCCGGGATCACCGCCTGCTTTTCTCTGCGAGAACATCGCAGCATCGGGAGTAGGAACCGTTCTGGGCGGTTCCGGGAAACACGCGTTGGTGTTGTGAGAAGGTGCCGGTCGTGCACTGGCACGTTGTGACCGCAGGGCATTGCACGAGGCGAGACGGCAGTGAAGAGTCGTCTTCGTGCAGGGTGCAGGCCGCTCTCCCGACGGTCGACGCAGCAGTGAGAGCACCAGACCCACCCGCAGACTCAGACGTGGCCCCAACACGGACTCAAACCCAGGCTCGATGCTCACGGCCGGGTTCTTTACCAAAGGCTGCCGTGCGCTGCCCAGTGAAGTGAAACGAATACTGTGAGATTGTGAATGCAGTACAGCAAGTTGGTTTGTGCAAACACTTGGGTGCAGACACTTGGTGAATCTGATTTCATCTCACGTAATCGTCAAAGACACCTCTAAAGTACCTTTCACCCCGAGATCACGAAGGCGCTGTATTTTATTTATTTCATTTTATTGAAACCCCTTACAACACGCGATTGGTGAAGCATCCCAGTGCAGGCATCGCCGAAAAATACTGTGAATGAATACTGTGAATTAATACTGTGAATTAATACTTCGATCGAATACTGTGAATAAACTGTGAATAAATGCTGTGAAACAATAGTGCGAATGAATACTGTGACTATTTATTGTGAATTAATAATGTGAATGAATCTTGTGAATAAATAGTGTGAATGAACACTTTAAATAAACTGTAAATGAATACTGTGAATATTTATTGTGAACGCATAACTGTGAATGAAGACTGTAAATGCATATTTGTAAATGCATGCTGTTAGTCGGTATTTTTCATTCATTATTGTGAATGAATTGCGTGAATTAAAAATGTGAATGAATACTGTGAATGAATATTGTGAATGAATACTGTGAATAGAAAATCTGAATGAATATTGTGAATGAATGCCATCACCGTGGTTCAAGCGAGGCAGCTGCCACAGTGATCGCGACACGGTATGAGCAGCGCCACTGGACTCGCAGTACAAAGGTCACCGCTCGATCCCATCTCGCGGCGCGGCAGCCTAAACCACGTGCCAAGTTTCTCAAATCCTGCCCACAGCCTCGGTCCAGCCGACAGGGTGAATGGGTCCTCCTAAATTAAGTTGATCATCGGTGGGGTAAAGTGTGGGTTCTCATGGAAGCGTAGACCAAATACCCTCTGCAGTTCCTTCTGGTGGAGGCCCTCATTCCAGCAGTGACGTGAGCGAGCAACTGCCAGGGGCTGTGCCCTCGTCACAAAAAAATATAGAATCCTGATGAGAGTCATCCCTCGTCTCATTGTCCACGTCTCTCATGGGGAGAGGGCGAATCTTTGAGGCGTCTCTGGCGGTGCCCGCCGATCGGCGGCCACTCTCCACGCGGGGTCCACTTCGTGCGTGAACGAGGAGCGCCGCACGTCCCCGAGTGTCAACGCAGCGACGTGGCGAGCGGCAGCCACGTGACTCCGAGGCGCGAACCCTTACCGCTCCTGCCCGGGGCAAGGTGCCGCTCTCCCCACGACGCTCCCCACGACGTCCGCTGCGGTGCTTCAGCGGATGCGCACAGATGGAGAAGAGCGTGAGGCGTGGAGAGCTAGCCACCGTGAACGCCGCCGCGGGTTACAGAACAGCGACGATCCGCCTTTTCTTCCGCCCTGATTTGGGAAATTCATCAATGAAAAATGTTGAAACCCTGCACAGCCTCGTTACCCGTGCTGTGTACACTGCGTGTGCACCTCCCGTGTGCACCACACACCAACTCGGCCAGCTCACCTCCCATCCACACCAACCCGGCCAGGATAACCTCTCATCCACACTCCACACCAACCCGGCCAGCACACCTCCTATCCACACTCCACACCAACCCGGCCAGCACACCTCTCATCCACACTCCACACCGATGCGGCCAGCACACCTCCTAACTACACCTCTCATCCGAGGGCACTGAGGATGGCCGGGTGGTGCTAGTGGTGGTGGTACAGTGGTAATTCTTGTGTCACATAGCAAGAAGGGATCTGGGGTCGATTCCTGACTCGGGCGACTTTTGTTGTGAGAGTTTATATGTTCTCCTCCTGTTCTGCATGGGTTTGCTCCAGGTTCTCCGATTTGCTCCCATAGCCAAACCCATATGCACAATGTAACTGGTTTTGGACAAACA